GACGATAGAACGCGCTTAGCATTCGCATCATTTCACATCATTTCTAGTACATAATTATATATTCTGTGGTACAAATAGTAACAAAATTTGGAATTGTCGTAGTCGACGGACTGGAAATCTTTTACTTATTTAGGAAATGGATCAAAGGTGAACGAGAAGAGTTCCCTTGAGATTTAAGATTAAGGAAGATTTAGAAATCTTGTCTCATTCTACCCTACCAAGACACAAGCCTGTGTATTCACTGCGAAGAAGGATCCCTTTGTTGTTACTCCACAATTCCAAGATGTTCCACTAAATGTTTTGGTTAGTGTTAGGATAAAAGATGTTGATATTTTCTGTGACGTCCACTATGGAGCCCATTTATTTTTTATTTATTAATTTACAGTCAGGCAACGTAGGCCCATAGATACATACCTTAAAGTCTAACATATATACAGATATAAAACATAGTTAGAAACTTATTGAACACGTATTGATGGCGACGTGTGACGCAGAATGGTGTCCGGCATAGAACACAGAAAGAGAAGAACCTCTTTCTGTGTTCTGTGGTGTCCGGTAACCGGCCTCGGAACCGCCGGAACACAACACCTTACGGCCAAAGCCTTCTTCCATAAAGTTCGCTAGGTGTTCGGTTGGTACTCTCACCACGAATGAATTAAAATTAATACTATGGCGAGATTCCAACCGTGCGACTCTTAGGGAGAACTTCGTCTTGATCCGCAGATACTCTACGATCTCTTCCTTCGTAGAGTAATGCAACCGGGACACGTACAGCGGCGTCGTTGGTATGGCGGGACGCAACAGATGGTTGGTCCGGTCGGGGCAGCACCACACAGGTTGCGGCGAGCGGGCTTCCTCTTCTTCCTTTCCACCTTGATGATGCCTTCTTCGTCACAATTTAGATTTTGTGATGCCGCCGGAGTAGCACGTTTGTGTTTGCTTCTCTTCTCTGTTTGTTGTAATATTCGCTCTGGTTTCGGAGCGGCATCGGCAGGCTAAATTGCGGCTGCATTAGGAGTGCAAGGCCAAACAGGCCTCTAAAAACTGGGAGTTCTAATTCGCTTAAAGCAGTACATAACGTCTAAGCAAAGGCTTGTTAGCGTGGCCAAGCCTTCACCGAATTTCATAAAACTTCAAAGTACAGTCAAAGCCAGACCTAAAGATATATTTATTACATTGACAACTCTTTATAACGCACTAATAGGAGCGATATTCGTACGCTTTGAAGGTTTGTAATTGCCTAAACATTGTCGTAGAAACATTTATTAGGTACACAATGTGTAATTCACACACGAGTGAGGATTAGATGAAGATGAGCCCGTATAATGTGCTTATGTTTACTGTACAATTAGATGGTTTAAATAGAAAATTACCAATTTACCAGGTCAGGGCTATGAAGATAAAAAGTGAAAAATGGTTACTCTATTTAATCATGATATGCCAAAACCGCAACCATTATGGTTAAAATAGCCAGCCAATTAGAAAGCCTAGGCCGATAATTATACACCGGCAGATTTGAAATGACTGAAGGACAAGTAGTCAAGTCATGGAGTGCAACGTAGTGTTGATTTTATTAAGTTTGCATTCCGAGTCGATGCACTCTAAACTGCTGACACAGTTGACCCACTAATTGGTTTAAGAACAATATTTTACATTATATGACAGTGCAATAAAGGCATTCACATCATATTGACGTATTTTAATAATGAACTCCTGACAATTGTCCCGTGACTAATTGACATATTGACAGTCGTTAGGGTCCTAGTAACGGCCCCTACAGTAGTCCTTTAGTTTTTCTATAGCTCGGTCAACGATATTAAAACCCTAGATACACCACGTGCGCTCAAAATGTGTCCCAATCAAGAAGTGCTTGGACACCACTCAAGCACTTCTTAATTCACAGTCACGCGCGGACTGTTTAAAAGTCAAACGCTTTCACCGTGAAATAATGCGATAATAATACTTATAGTATGTATAGTGTCGTTTATTCGACAGATATCCAATCAATCTTTGTTAATTTAACTGTCAAAGGTATTTGAAGTTTTTGTTTTAATAATTACAATTGATTTAGTAGAAAATATTTGTGATAATTCAAATGCATGGTCGGTACATATGTTACAGAGCTGTCAAAAATTCTTGCTTGGGCCTCTGGTAAAATAGAGACGATAATATCGGGGCAGTGTTTTCTGTGACTTTCTACCGTTGTACTTAATAGCGCAAAAGAATTAAGGTGATATAGATGGCGATGTGAAATGGGATTAGGAGGGGAGGATTTGGCCTATAATATTTTCAGCAAGTTTTTTGCTGATATTGGCAAAATGGAAGTTTACGTAATCCACCGATTGTTCCTGTGAGCCTTTGCAAGTCAGTAAATCACTGAAGGAGTTGTTGGGTTTAAAGGTAAGCGAATTACGTTCCACAACTTTTATATTTGTTCAACTCGCCTTAGCAGGACTTTTTCTAGAAAGAAAGAAATAAATTTTATTGACCATAAAGTATTGTTAAACATATAAGTATAAAAATAATAAAAAACTTTTGGCCAACTAGGTCCCTGCCTCAGCTTGATACTACAGCAACACCAGGGCTGCTGCAGCGCTGATGATTCTGGCAGGACCTAAGGTTGACGACACAGATTATTATTTTTAAACAATAGTAAAATAAACAACCACACACATAAAAAAGAAAAGATAATAACAACGTAGGCTGAATGTTTTTCACCATCCTTAGCCTTTCTAAGGCTTTACTTTTTTTTACTTCTTATTATAAAATAGGGCTGTGAAATAATTGAGAAACTTTATTCTTATTCGCTTTTAATACGACTTATTTTGTCAATAGATTTTTTAAACATATCCTGTCAATATAACTATAACATTTCACTAAATATTCAATTGTGCTTATATCATTTTAATTATAAAATATTATTTACATTTAATGCTTAATTAATATTGATAAGCTCTTTGACTAGATCACTACATAGTAAGGTACTTAAAGCTATTGAGATTGATGATTAAATAAATAATTTCATTTTATATTTCATGAGTCACTAAATAGCATGATAAATGGCTTGAACACCTTAAAGTTATCAGTAAATTAGGAACGTTCTTAAATTAGGCATATTTTAATAAAGATTCATTCGATAGAAGTAGAAACTAATCATGATCTACAGAAATAATTATATGTCATAGAACAATAGTTACATGTTTTATACATTATTTTTATTTCATAACAAAATCTTTGATCATCACAATTAACTTTTAAACACTATCGATTCATAAGTAATAATTTTAAAGAATTAAATGAATATAAATTTCTTAAAATTGGAAATACAACAGAGGTGGATCCAGGGCGAAGAGGCTCAAGTCTCTCACGAAGCAGCCTCATGTCTCCCATGACAAAGTCTAAAAAGGTAATAACCTTGATATTGTTACAATTAAACTCTTCAACGAGTCGTAATCCGATGGCACTAACTAATACTGTGTTAACAAAATTAAACTTCGTTACAGAACAGCTTAAAATTCTGGATCCGCTGCTGATGTTCAAAAGCAATTCTTAAGAAATAGTTCGTATTATTTTCTATCACCCATTCAGTACATTTACTATTAACATTTCTTTAATTGGCATACTTTATAATATCGTTTGTTTCTTAAGTTTTCACGCAAACCACTCATTAAATGTTACTAAGCTTAAATGAAACGACAAATAAGGTAATAAAAAGACGCATTTTGAAATCGTTTAAGCGTAGTTTCATTTATTAATATCGTTTTATTATTAACAATAACTTGAAACGTATCTTCTACTCTTGGATTTGAATTCGAAACAAAACCAAAAGGTCAAGCTATATCAAGATTGCATTTATAGTAGGTTGTAATTTTACGTTTCATGCAGGCCCAGTCCCACCTACTACTGAGAAATGCAGGTTAGTGGAAAATAACTGAGCTGAAATGAGAAAAATAGTTCGAGTCCCGTCCGCTGCCTGGTCCGCGTGGATTTTTTTCTAGTAAAACTTTTCTTTACATTTAAACATCTAGCAGTTAAATGCTTAAAAAAATAAAACATAAAAATAGTTTTTGCTTTTTACTAAAAATCAGCTCACTGTTTGGGAGTTGAAGGACTTGTATTGCTACCTAACTTCATCGTTGCGAGTCAATAAAGGCATTATAGCGTATTTATGTATCAGGTAGAGTCTAGCTCCTGAGATGTAAAGTTCGATAAAATTTTGGATTTTGAATCAATAACCCGACACTTTGATCAAGGGCGGGCACAAGACACCTGTGTAATAATTGTATATGCCAATGATTAATGGGTCCTCTTTCGCACGTAGTGGAAGTTGTCAAGCCAACTTACACTATGAGTAAGTCAAAACTCAATGATTAAGAATAGATACATCTTTGGGATGTGATGACAGAATTATTTGAGCAGACATTTTCGTATTGTACATCATCATCAACTAACGGTACAGCCTTAATATTCAAAGTGGAAGGAAGGTTTTGTACATATATATTGCCTTTATCAAAGTATTTAGTTACAGTGAATTTATTTCTCAGAGTTTGAATTTATTGCCTAATTTTTATCAAAATTAGTGGTACTGTAAAAATCAGTGCTTCTAAAGGAGAGAAAAAATCAAGTTAAAATCAAGCTTAACATTCAAGAAACTCAACGGCCGCTCAGTCAGACAAATAAACTTGCTCCGTAGACGTTTTTGTATGTGCAATTATAAGTCACGGCACGAGTGCTGTTATATATACATATAAGGTATATTTAGGAATATTGAACAAACTAAAGGATGTTCAATCCGTGGCCAGTCAGATGTACTGCGCGAACTGAATCCAGTAGGTGGCGGTATATATACTGATATAGGTAGGAATATTGGACATACTGACGGACGCTCAGTCCAAAGCCAGTCAGATGTACTGCGCGAACTGAATCCAGTAGGTGGCGTTATGTATAATTATATAGGTAGGAATATTGGACAAACTGACGGACGCTCAATCCAAGGTCAGTCAGATGTACTGCGCGAACTGAATCCAGTAGGTGGCGTTGAGGACGGCGAACAGCAGCGGGAAGAACACGCGCGAGAACCGGTCGATGTTGATGGCGCGAGACTTGGCGCGGGCCGCTTCTGCCGCGTCCTGTGGGATTACCAGTTTTTTACTCTATATATTGGCTTACCCTCTTCACCTCGGTGTAGCTTATACTTTTTGTTCTAATATATAGCCTATAAAACTTGAAAATAACGTGGCTTTCTATTGGTAAAAGTATTTTCAAAATCGGTTCAGAGATTACTTTCTCTATAAGATTCCTATTACTATCGATTTTGAAAATTCTTATATTCCCTATAACCTCATAAACTTTACCTCTTATAAGTTTAAAATAGCGGAAGCCAACTTCGAACTAGGTCCAGGAGTAGAGGGCGCGTACAAGGATGATAGAGACAATGATAGAGAAAATTACTAAGTACTTTGATACCGTCACTTAATAGTAAGGAGCGGTGGGGATGCAACATGTACACAACGTCGTATGGCTTATCGATACAAGCCTATTAATGTCTCTACTGCTGAGGCATAAGCCTCCTTAAGGATGGAATAGGGAGAACGAGCTATGACCCACTGGTGGATGGATTGCTAACGACTGCAGATGCAGCCGGGACCAACGGCTTAACGTACCTTCCGAAATACGTAGAAGCTCAAGATAATAAGTTTTTGGTCACCCGTCAAATGATTGACGGGTGACATTGCAAAAGTTATTTAACTTCCGTGATCACAAGAACGCGCTAACCACTTGCGCCATCGAGCTCCTGAACGTCTGGTAGGAATACCAGCTTTAAATTCGGAACTATCGGATGCCCGCGAGGAGCTCAATAGCGCTTCATTTGTCAAAAGTAAGTTGACTGATAACAATTGTGAATCAGGCAGCTTCTGTCCTAAACTAATTTCTGACTCTACCCCTGATGTTTATTTTTGTGTTAATTATGTAGAAAATTCGACAAATTTTGAAGTAACAAGGGTTTCTATGATCATGCTCTCATTGCATCAATTCTAGATAGCCTAGCTGGCAAGCTGACGACACGACGCGCAGACAACGAGGAAAGCATGCTCAGACCACTCGTTAAGCGCCTGTCTAGCCAGATGATGCGATTTACACGCGAATCACGTTTATTCTTTTTGGCTTATACTCAAGACAGCCAGCGACATGATTTTTTTGGATTGCGTTCCGAATAACATGATGGAAACGACGCAAGCCAAAAGAAAATTGACTATACATTTGTATCGCGGTCCCAAGGTGCTTGACAATTGTGACTTCGCATACAATTAAAAATTGTGCAATAGTGACTTCACATCGGGAAGTCCAGTGTCCCCTGATGCGGAAAATGAAAAGAAAAGAAAAAAATATCAAAGTAAAGCTTGCGGAGATTCTCTTTCTCCAAAGTTTTTCATCATCATCATCAGCCTATTAATGACCCTACTGCTGGGGCACAGGGCTTCCTTATGGATAGAATAGGGAGATTAGGCCATAAGTCACCACGCGGGCCCTGTGCGGATTGGCGGGTGCTAACGACTGCAGATAAGGCCAACGGCTTAACGTGTCGTTCGAAGCACGGAGGAACTCGAGATAGAAGATTTTTGGTCACCCATCCAATGACCGACCACTGCGAAAGTTGCTTAACTTCAATGATCGTAGCCGAACGCGCTAACCACTTGCGCTAACGAGCTCTTCAAGCTTTTCCTCAGTACAATATTATGTATGATTTAGGTAATTCAATATGCAGTGGCACTATAAAAACTGAAAAACCTAATGAGTACGTTTCTTCAAAATTTTCTCTTCATCAAGTGCGACAGCTATGAGAGCGTAATCACATTTTAAAAAACGACACACTGATACATACGTGTGGAAAAATGCCAAATAACTGACCACTCTTTGACTACGTGACGTTCACGTGTTGATCGAATGAGGTTCATTGACAGCGTTATTAATGTAGTTGTTCATTGACGACATAGGTATTATTATGTCCAATCGTGGACACCCTGTCAAATCAACGAATAGATGCGGAAATTCTGATGAGCGCATCTTACATAGGCTACGTTGTTGCAGGACCAGATTAAAGAGGTCCCATCCCAGGTCAAAGAGGGAGCGGAGACCCCCGATAATTTTCAGAACTAAAATTTAAAATAATATTCAGAAATAATGATTATTGAATGCTAAACATAATCATAGGTATTAAAAAAAAAAAAACTAAAAAGTTACTGACACATCGAAATTTAGGATTCTTAACCACTTTTGATGGCGGCCCCAGGGCAGCAGCCCTCATGTACGGCCCTGTATTAGTGCAACAAGTCAACTTATAAGTTACTAGCTGACCCAGCGAACTGCGTACCGCCTTGAAAATAGGGGCAGGTGGTAAGTGAGAAAATTTAGGGGTGTATGTATTTTTTAATACCACATAAAAAAAAAGTTCAAAAAAATTTTTATGAGTATGTAACGTAGTGTTCTATCAATTTCCTGGGATTACATTTCAAAATTTGATTAAATTTGTTTGTGTCATTCGGACTTAAATAACAATAAACAAGTTCTTACATATTCTGGATTTTTAATAAATATTTTATGGGCACCCTAATTATACGATCCGGCCAAATGTGGATGACCAAATCGTTAAATGTTGACGATTTAATGATCTGGTCAAATTAAGTTGAAATTCTCGAGCATTTCATGAAGTGAGCAAATCTACGATATGGACACGACATATCTATTATATTAATAGTACATTACGATACGCGTGACCTAAGTGGCCTATTCTACTTCTACCTCGCTCCGCTCGGGCGCTAACTTCACGCCGTGCAGTAATAGACAACTTAGGCCACAAGTATCGTATACTATTTTATAGCAAGTGTGACATAGACCCGCCCCGGACGCGGGCAAGAGGGGGGGTTGAGGGATGCGATTAGTGTTTTGAAAGTAAAATTCATGTATTGTAATCACAAAGAATTGCAATACAGACTGCAAGTCAAACTCTGAAAAGAAAGAATTCCGGTTCAGATTACCATTTTGAAAGTATATTTCAAAAGGAAAAAATCAAATATTATTACAACAAAATAGAATTTCAATGAACGTTTATTCCTTGATTGGCATAGTAAAGTTAAGTTACGCGTATCATAATGTACTAATTCTACATGAGTGAAGTTGGTCAATTCATTTACACACCGTGCAGAAATAGGCAACTTAGGTCAGGAAAAGCGTGCGTAAAGTGCGGTTTTAGGTCACACTGTGCTATAAAAATATTTCCGAACATTCACTATATTCAAAATTGAATTTCAACATTTAAAATAATGATATATGAATACAGAAAAATAAATATTTACATTTAGATATTAAATTAAAACTACACTAAAAATAGAAAAAAAATAAAACTATGTAATGATACAAAATATATATATATATATATATATATATATATACTTATAAGTAGGTATATTTAATGGAGAGTGAAGAGTGAGCATTTTCCTAAAGTATATAGGTAGGTAGGTATTTCCTAGAAAATATTACCTTTGGCTTCCCGGCACCATCTCCGAGGACTATATTTACGAGGCAGTACTCCATTAACGCCATGAACACAAAACTGGAAGAAAATGATGAATTATATTTTATCATCAGCAAGTATTCTTAGGCGTGTATAAATCAGTAAAAATAGTACATTACTGTAGCTGCCAGCAAAAGAGGCTTTGATGAACGAACGTGTAAGCATACGTAAGTAAGTCCATTAATGCCTAGGTGTGACTAAGGCCACGGTAATATTATCTATACTATACAGTATTGTGACTCCGCCCTGTCCTTGAACATAAATGCCTACGGCCGAGCGCTGCGTTAGCACGCGGTAGGGCCGCCCGCCTACAGTATTTTATGTAGTTTTGTTTTTAACGCGAGTGTAGGTAGATTACTCGTTTGTATCTTTTTTTAACCTAACCACTTATTTACATATTATTCCAGATATTTTTCCTGATGGAAAAACCGAAATACCTAAACATTAGAAACAAATTACGTACTAGTAGATAGGTATATAAAAAATATTCTATAAAGGTAAGACACCTTTCCAATATTTCAGGTAATATAAAAAATGATATCTCTGGGTGCGTTATTGAAGAGTTCAAGCAACCAAAAACAGCAATAGGCTAGTTTACTCATGTCGAATTGTATTAAATAAATGATTGTTTCTTAAAGTATTTAGTCTAAGGAACCTTAATATATCGATTTCACTTCATAAAAGCAGAAGATTGCTGTAGAAATTTAATTTTAAAAAAATATTTTATAGTCTATATTTTTTAAACACTAAAAACGCTGTTCGCCACATCCGCCATGATTTTGACGTCTCTTGTGGTAAACAACTAAATGTCATTCGCGTGTTACTGTAGGTGGATTCTTTCGTCTGACTAAATTTATCTTAAAACACTTTTAACTTTAGGAAAGAAAAAAACTGTAAACTTAGTTTTTTTTTGACAAAACTAATTATGGATGCCGGCTTTGTGAAAGCAGAAAGCACAAATCTGCCAAGAATTGACGCATTGACGGTTGGTGAATTTGTTGCACTAAACCCCGATTTCTGCTCTGCGGAGCAGAGAAACGACAAGGCATCTATGTAAGTACAGTGCATTTAGTATTACATTGTAGTAATAAACATAAAACTGATACAACATATGAATAAGTGTAATAAAGTTGCGTAGGTTAAATTCTTTCGGCACTTTAATCCACAACTTTCCTGGAGTCTTCAAGGATGTGTTTTTATATTCTCGTACAATACAGTAATGATAATTACTTTATTTTTCGTGGTATTTATTAGAAATCATGTTTTTTTTTATTATAAACTCAGTTAAAAGTAATTTTCTACGTGTTTACGAGTTTTTGTTTACCACAGTTCACGTCATAGCATAGATAATCTATAGACTAAAATGGCCGACAGCGTTTTTGTATGTCCATGAAAAGTCTATTTTAAAATTAAAGATTTGTAGCTTTCTAGGTTTAAAAAAATACAATACATTTTTTTTCGGTCTAATAGAACATTTATTAACCATTTAAAACCTTTTTCCAAAAAGGGTCAACTAGCCTATTGTGCTGTTTTACGATATTGATCGTCGTTTGTTATTTTCCATATTAAATTATGTAGGTATCTACTTAATTAAATCAAATATTTACAATACAAAACGCACGTTTAAGCACGGCTAACTGCATAAAAAACAATTCAGACCGTTCGGTCGTCGTTGCGGCGCGGCGGCGCATTCGCGATCGCGACTGGGTGCCCGCCGAGAGCACATCGAACTCGAGTGGCGTAGGTATGACTCGCTTTCCGACCGTTTGTATGAAAATAGAATACTGTATGATATTATTACCGTGCTAAGGCTTACGAGCGCCGCACGTTGATGGCGGCGCTCGGCGGAGGACCGCTCTCATTGCCAAGTATGGTTCGAGCCATGCTTGGCAATGAGAGGGCATGGAAGGCTGCCGCCTCCTTCTGCGAAGTTGTGATGGGGCAGAAGGAGGCAGCGGAGAGGGAGCGGGAGGAGGATGCTCTAGCCGCTCCCCTCCGACGTAGACGGGTGGGCCGAAGAAGGCCGGCAGCTGTGACTGCCGGTCTTCGTCGGCCCTAAGGTGGTCTGGGCGCGGCTTGGCCGCCGCGTGTCCTTGGTGCCATTCGGCATAGGCCACCCCGTCTGGGGATTGCCTAGTATCCTAGCGCAATCCCCCAGAGGCGTGTCCCCCGGTCCACTCGTTGGGCCGGGCCAGCCCGGGGGCGTCCCAGTGAAGTGGCGCACACTAAGGTGCGCCGATCCTGAGACGCCCCCATATGGGCGTAGAAGGGTACCGGTGGTTTTTAGTGGGTAGGACCGGCGTTGTTCTGCGCCGGGGAGTCCCACACACGCACGCGGTACGGTGCGTAAATGCATTTTCCATCGTCAACAAAAAAAAAAAAGGTGTGACTAAGGCTTGTTAGTAGTTTTCTCAATTAATGGAATAAAAAATAAGTTAAAAGAACCATTTTTAAAGTGTATTCATTTATTTATTTTTTAAAAAGAATTTTCGAAATGCAGTTTGATATTTAAATAAAATCTTTGATTAATTTACCTCCTTGGTTGCCATGTTTCAGAGTAAAAGATCGTTCCATTTTTAAATTACACGACAGATATGAGTTTACTATGTAATGTATTGGGCCGCTTAATATATGGATTTTCATACAACTTTTGCTAGCCGCTGCTCGCACTTATGTATGTGACCAGTACAGCCATTTTAAAGATGGTTGTCAAAATAATGCTCACATTTCCAACCATGTTTGAGAAAAATATAATACAGTAGGTAAGCAATATCTTCGAACTTCTGCTTTCGTTTAAAAGAATATTTACAAAATAAGAAGGTTGGGCAGTATACTCACTGAGGTTGCGGGCAGTATACTCACTGTAGGTATGGGCAGTATATTCACTGTGGGTATGGGCAGTATACTCACTGTAGGTGTGGGCAGTATACTCACTATAGGTGCGGGCAGTATATGCACTGTGGGTGCGAGTAGTATACTCACTGTAGGTGCGGGCAGTATATTCACTGTGGGTATGGGCAGTATACTCACTGTAGGTGTGGGCAGTATACTCACTATAGGTGCGGGCAGTATATGCACTGTGGGTGCGAGCAGTATACTCACTGTAGGTGCGGGCAGTATATTCACTGTGGGTGCGGGTATTATACTCACTGTAGGTGCGGGCAGGATACTCCATGGGCAGTATAATCTACAAACAGTGTGGTGGCGACATCTACAGGCCCCACATATAACCAACTTAATTAACCAGAGGATGTAATCACTCGTCAGGAGATGATGCTACGATATCAAAAGTATGGAAGCCTGCCTACATCGCCCATTGCATATTGAAGAATAAGCCTCCGAATTTCATCGGAGGCTTATTCTTCAATATGCAATGCCTGAGCAACATCAGTCGGGCCGCAGCCCCTGAGGTACCATCACCCAGATCGGAAGAAGATCTTCCCGTTTGACCTTCCTACAACAGTACTCTTAGTGTTGCCCAAATTCAGTCTTGATCTTGCAGTCTTGGTCTTGTTCTTGCATTTTTGCAAGACCAAGACCAAGAACAAGACCGCGTATTTTTAGCAAGACCAAGACCAAGACTGACCGTGCAAGACTTGAGCAAGACAAGACTAATCCGGCAAGACTCTTGCGTCTTGCAGCTAGGACTTAGCGCTATTTCACGGAGTAGTTAGGTGTTGCAAAGAATAAATAAGATTCGAATTTCTCATCAAATCTTCAGACATTTATTAATCTGATTGGTCTTTACTATAGCTATGTTAATTCAAGCTCACAATGTTCCAATTCGAATACGTTTTTCTAAGATCTAAAGTAAACTTTAATAAATAGCAATAGTCTAATAGATAATTGCAAGACTTGCAAGACTCTTGCTGCAAGACCAAGACTGGGAGCGCAAGACCAAGACCAGGTGTATTGGCGCAAGACTAAGACCAAGACTGGCTAAGTCTCGTCTTGTTCTTGCATTTGGGCAACACTAAGTACTCTGCAGGCGGTATACTCACACGGTACATACAGACATGAAGGCGTCTACTGCCTTAAGGTAGGAGACGGGCGGCAGCTGCGCCTGCGACTTGGCATGCTGCGTGGACAGGGTGAGTAGTGACGTCACGCCCAGCGTCACGCGAGCCGGAGCCGCGTCCGGTTTGATCCAGAAGGACACCCACTAATGACAAAAATGTCAAGAAACTTAATAATAAATATTTACAACACTCACACCAATAGGGGTGATGATGGGGTACATTAAACGAAATTCTATTTAGTCCGTCAGTTAGATGATCAAAAAATAATAGACACGTATTTTTACTTTGGGCAATCAACCAAAAAATGACAAAGTTATAGCGCGTCAAAGTTTGGGAGTAGGGGCTCGTGACGTCACTTTTGAGTGCATTTTTACATAAAAGTGTACTCAAACGTGACGTCATGCGACTTTTCAAATCAATATATCTCTGCAATGTTTCTATTATGTGAAAAAAGAAAAAATACGTGTCCAATACTTTTTGATAATCTACCTGATGAACGAATAAAAAAATTAGTCAACATCCCTATTAGCCTAACCCCAAAGTAAGCACTGTAAGGCCGTATACAGAAAGAAAGCCGATCGGCGCTTATCGGTGCCGATCCTTACTACATAAAGGAAGCCGATTAAAGCAGATCAAGCAAAATGTCGGACTCATCGGACATGATTTGGTTTTGTTAGAAAATGTGTATTTAAAAATGCGAAAAAAAGCCATACATCCTATAAATAGAGAAAGGAAACGTTTCGGAGAATACCATCATTTATTTGTAAAAAAATTGAAATTTGATGATCAAAGATTTTATACATTACAAGAATGTCTCAAGAAACATTTTATTAGATTTTGGATTTAGTGAAAAACCGTTTGATGAAAAATTGGTGCAATTGGCATAAACAACCAATCCTTCCAGAAGAAAGACTTGTCACCATTCGGTAAGTACGAAACAAATAATTTTAGCGCTTAGTTAATAAAAGATAAAGTTATTAGATTTATAAAAAGATTATAACTGAGATTGATTTAATCTAAGGATAATAATTCAAATACAAATTATTTATTATTCGGACCAGCGCGTGTTGGCGCTTATCGGCGCTGATCAGCGCCGATCGGCTTTCGGCTTTCTTTCTGTATACGGCCTAAGGCTTGTGTTATGGGATACTATGGCAACGGATAGAATACATATACTGTACATATATAAATATATTTATATAGAAATACTAGCTGGCCCAACGAACTTCGTTCCGCCATAAAAATAGAGGCAGGTGGTAGAAGACAAAATTTAGGGTGTTATGTATTATTTAATACCACATTATAAAAAAAATGTCCAAAAATCATTTTAGGGGTGTGTAACGTAATGTTCTATCAATTTCCTGAAATAACATTTCTCCTAACTCATATGAGAACACTACGTTACAATACCCAATAGTTTGAATTTTGGCGCGAATACGCATTGTAGGTTTCAGAACACTAAGTTACAGGTGAACAACCATTATCACTTAAGGATATGGAAATCGATAGTAGGCGATTCTCAGAGCCACGGAATATCTTATAAAATTTCATAAAAATCGGTCAGGCCGTTTTGGAGGAGTATGGTAACTAACATTGTGACACGAGAATTTTTATATATAAGAAGGTAATATGATTGATTGATTGAATTATCGATTTCAGAACTAAATATAGAAATACAGATCAAACATCCATGACTGGAGTACAAATGTACATCATACAAACATCTACCCCCACCTGGATTCGAACCTGGGAGTCGGTGTCCCCATGAAACCCTGCGAAGAAACCACCCACAAAGGTCGTCAAATAAATAAACTTAATGATGACTAAAGAAACAAAGATGATACGCGAAGCTATTGAGATTAAGGAACATTCAAATTTCAATAGGGAAGATGGTTGGTATATACCAACATTTTGGGAACCCATTATACAACAGATAAAATCCCAACCCCGAACACACACTGCAAGACCAACAGATACTATTAGTTCTTTTTGTTTGCATGATTTAACATAAGAAGGAGACAAAAAGCCTCTCTGAGTTAGTTTCGCCAGTTCTTTTCAGAGAGGTCATCCATTTTTATATTGATAAGAATTTTGGAATTGGTGCTAGTAAGGGTCAAATAAATTAAATCAAAATTAAATAAATTACTTTATTAATGAAATTAGCTAATAAATTCATACATACACATTTTTTTTAAAATCTCCCAATGAAGTATCATCATCATCATCATATACGAACGCTCAGTAAAAGTCTTTTGAAGGTAGCTCGACAAAGTAAATAAAAGTCATAATTCTGACGATGCAAGCCTAAAAAGGATGCGAAACCTCAAGAAACAAGTAAATCAGCGCATCTATACCGTTGAAACTTGTTTTATTTAATGATTGGTGTGCGTGAAAACCTAAGAAACAGATATTTCAAGAAACGTTAACTTTTTGATAGTTTCAAAACATTCGCACAAAAAGTAGATTGATGATGTTTATCCCAAATCTGCTTCTTTTTTAGTTCTATTCTTCTCTTTTGAGAAAGGCAAAGGCAAAGTCATACAGCCATCGTCTTATTTTTGTGTTAATCTTTCTTTTTGTGAATGTTTTTGGAGTGTTTGGCACGATATGGATTTTTCATACAACTTTTGCTGGCCACTGCTCGCACTTATGTATGTGGCCAGTACAGCAATTTCGATTTATCTTTCGTGACCCATTCTAATGTTTCTTGGAGTGTTTGGCACGAAATATATCGAGTTGACTTTTTCGATAAGCTTCTGTGAGGTAGTCATAGTCATAGTCATAATATTTATTGCTTCATGTTGGTTACATTTCGTTCTTAAATTTAATAACAGCTCGCAAACATGAGCCCAACAAACATGAGGTAGTCAATACTACAATAAAGTTCTGACGTCCACTTGACCGGAATAGCGTTTATTTTAAAGATTCCACTAATTCTTCAGTTGCGTAGACGGTTGTAACACAAAATCACACCAATTTTATTTCACAATATCCACTATGAACAAAATCGTTTTCCACAACCTCTTTTACCGTATCCAGGGTATCCTCTCGCCTCCTGTCTATGTATAGAGACACGCAGCCCGCTAAATCATTACGAAAGAGCTAATTCGCTAATTTTAGCGCATTTAGGACCAATACCACGGGAAGTTTCGTCATGCAGGTGTGGGAGAAGCATGAGCGACACTCCTATGAGATCCCTCTAGAACAGGAATGGGCTAAATTTTTCCTCATCGTGCTCATTATTCCTCAATATTTATAATCAGAAATCTATGTCGGGCCAAGATTTTGCTGAGGCCACTGGCGATTGGCAAATCCCTGCTCTAGCAGGAAAATCTTTATATATATAATTCTTCTGTGAGTGTGTATGTCACTGAACTTCTCTTAAACGACTGGACCGATTTTGATGAAATTTTTTGTGTGTGTTCAAGGGGATCTGAGAATGGTTTAGATTCACAATTTTGTCCGCTGGATAACCCCTATTTTTTTAGGGCGGTACGAAGTTCGCTGGGTCAGCTAGTAGTTTATAAACAAACAGGCCAACGGAAGTGCAACCATTTCAAAAGTGACGGTGTAGCCATTGGCTATCTAACACCTATATGGATACTCGATCGCCTCGCCATTTGGACAGTTTTAATTTAAAGTTGGACAGGGAATTCTTAGTAATATAAGTTATTTACGGGATTGTTACCATGTACCTGTACTTAGGTACATGGTAACAATCCCGTAAATAACTTATATTACTATAATGATAGTGTTAGTGACGCATTAACTAAAAATTCCCTATATTGTTTTAAACTATAATGGTCACTAACATTATAGTAATATAAGTTACTAGCAAACCAGTGAACCAAATGTTCACCAAAACCTGATTTAAAAAAAAAATGTATTTAATTAATTGAGAACTTTGGAAGTTTTGGGTGGTTTCGTTTGAAATTCGTGATTTCTCGAAAACCGGAAGTGCTACGTTACTCAAATCCGGTTTGTAGTCTTATCAGACTATTCTTAACTTATAACTTAAATATTCTCTTTATCTATCTCTTACGGTTTGGCCGCTGAAACAGCACCACAGACAGACGGACGGACGGACTTGTCTAATAGATAAGAGATTTACGGGACGGTACCTGTACTTAGGTACATGGTAACAATCCCGTAAATAACTTATATTACTATAATGTTAGTGACCATTATAGTTTAAAACAATATAGGGAATTTTTAGTTAATGCGTCTTTTTTACATTGTTTCAGTAGCATTTGAGTCCAACGATTGAATCCTGCGTTAGTATATACTACTGGAATTAACTGAAATTTTTCGAATTGCTTTTTTGTAACCATTGTCACTAACTATAGTCTAACAGTTTTTCAGAAACTGGAATAATAACGGTATTATCCAGTGCAGCATTCACCGAGTGGGAGCTAGTCTGTTTGCGAAGACAAATTTTAACGAATGGAATGATCACTTACGGTTTTAAACTAAACTACTGCCCACAAAGAAAATCTTTCTACTCATCTACTTTTACAACGCACCTAGCCCCTGGAGATTTGGGTCCGGCTGGTGTATCTAAATACATTTTCTATTTTTTAGCTATTTTTCAATGAAAAGTGAACAGGATTTGCGAACAATTAAACATAAATTCTTATTCAAATCTTGTTAAAATACACCGATACATTCACTTGACCTTTGCAAATTTTTTTTGTTCCTCTTCAGTTTTAGTTGCCTGTATAAAACTGAAGTCATGTTTACCAGAGCGTGAACATTGCATTGTTTAAATGGTCACTTTCGGATTGCATGTCTGATAATACTAAAAATTTTGATGCCTAGCAATCTATCTGATTGGATACACGATGGAGCAATCTCAGTTACGAAGCGAAGAACATCGAACTGTTCTTCAATACTTTTATTTGAATCAATTTATGACAATGATGATACATTAAATTTTTAATATGTCAAAAAATATACTATAACAATGAACCTAAAACTAAAAACCTTAAAAAATAAAATATAATAACTAAAATACATTATTAAAAGGAGTCCCTTTAGGCAAGGTTCCGAAGATACTGGCAGCGTTCCCCCTTTGGATAGCTAGACTAATTCTTTGTCCGAGGTAGCTGCCAGCTCTTTGGTCTCCTGTGATGTCAACTTATTTTTTTTCTATTTCTTTAAAAAGCCTTATAGCGCTAGGACCCCACGGACCAAGGGTCTCGACACCGAATGGGACAAAATCATATTCGGAGCCTAGACCCCTGTATTTGCCTGCCTTAGTTTTTTCAGCCGCTTCACAAGCCGCACCAGCTCTGTTGTTGGTTCCATGTAGTACTGTTCTTATTTCTTTATTTGTAAAGATAAAAAACAGGCTAATGTCATAAGAGTATAAATTAGTAAACAATAGCCCAGGAACATACTATAACCTACAAATATGTATCTCTATCGCAAGGTGGCTGGCAGGAGCTGGATGCGAGAAGCCCAAGATCGATCTGAGTGGAGTGCAATTGGAGAGGCCTATGTCCAGCAGTGGACTAGGATAGGCTGCTGATGATGATGATGATGTATCTCTAACATGGTTAGTATGAGCAACTTATATAATTAAACAGATTACAATAGAGTACTTTAATAGGGATGATGACTATTTCGTTTTCTTCGTTTATCAGGTAGATTATCAAAAAGTATTGGACACGTATTTTTTCTTTTTTCACATAATAGAAACATTGCAGAGATATATTGATTTGAAAAGTCGCATGACGTCACGTTTGAGTACACTTTTATGTAAAAATGCACTCAAAAGTGACGTCACGAGCCCCTACTCCCAAACTTTGACGCGCTATAACTTTGTCATTTTTTGGTTGATTGCCCAAAGAAAAAATACGTGTCCAATATTTTTTGATCATCCAACTGACGGACTAAATAAAATTTCGTTTACTGTACCCCGTCATCACCCCTATTGTTGCACAGCAAGCGACAATCGAGTACGATGTGCTAATGGTCTAATACTTAAAATATTATGTACTAAAGAAAAAAGTGAAAATGTTGGTTCTAAAAATATATCTATTTCTATGTTAGAGCCATCGTTGAGAAATTTCGTTATATAGGCGACACATTCGAACAATTGGATTGAATGATGTTTTGTTGCGGTTAACTTCTAAAGAGAATATATTATGATTCCGTGTTTTGTACGTTACATTTAAATCTATTGAGGTAGGAGGATCAAGACATGAATACTAGCTGTCCCAGCGAACTTCGTACCGCCATAAAAAATATGGGTTGGTGGTAGAAGGGTGAAAATTTAGGGTTGTATGTATTTTTGTATGATGTATCATAAAAAAATTAAAAAGAAAATATCTAAAATTTAAAAAAATGGGGGGGGGGGTACCCTTAACATTTAGGGGGATGAAAAATAGATTACATCCGATTCTCAGACCTACCCAATATGCACACAAAATTTCACGAAAATCGGTCGAGCCGTTTCGGAGGAGTTTAACCACAAACACCGCGACACGAGAATTTTATATATTAGATATTATCTTGTAGAGATTAATCAATTCGCTCAGCTTTCGTCGGCTTTGTAAAATTTTTATTTTGTAATATATTAATCTGTTGCTGTAACATTTTAGTTTTCGAGACTGAGTTCTAACATAGAATGGTTAGTTTGCGTTTGCGTTATCCCAGAAATCACCATTTAAGGAGATTAAAAGAGAGGTGGACGTCTGTATGATAACCAATTAGACCAGTAGGCTAGTTAGGCTAGTAGCATATAAAAGAGAGAGTAACTCCTCAATTTTTGAAGTTATACTTCTTTAGGCGCGTTATGAAAAAATTATGAGAGTGAAATTTTTAGATGCGCGCGCATCACTGTAACACAAAAGTAACATAATGAAGTTAGCCGCGGGCGCGTTATGAAAAAATCAAGTGAGTGAAATTTCGAGATGCGCGCGCATCACTGTAACACAATAGTAACACCATGAAGTTGGCCGCGGGCGCGTTATGAATGTTAGTGTCTAATAATGGTGGACATCTGTTCGAAAGGTACTTTGAACGATCCACGGAGCTCCATAAGATGATCGCGTTGTCAAAAACAATGTTGGCACGCTCGTCGCCTCTGATCACTGTTTTCATATTTATAATATTTATCCACATGTTTCTAGTTTCTATATAGACACAACGTGTTTTAGTTACTTACAAGTGCTAATTACATATGGACTAATAACTTAAATTCAGTAGTGATTTTAATTGAATATTTTGAATATTTATTTAATTTTTCAAATTAAAACTGAACTTAATTGACTGTGTTAACTATCCTTTTCCAGTCCTTTTATTATTTTATTGTAATTATTAATTATTTGCATGCAATTAAAAAATATTTTTAATGATGCTAAAGAAGTATAACTTCTCACGCGCGTACATAAGTTACACGCATCCATTTTTATATGTTTGCGTGAGTGTTTGTGAACACTGTTTCACAAACGAGTGTTTGTTTGATTAGCTAATCTTTTATATGCTACTAGCCTAACTAGCATACTGGTCTAATTGGTTTCTCATACAGTCATCCACCTCCCTTTAAATCTCCTTAAATGGTGATTTCTGGGATAAAAACTCCTATGTCCTTATATAATCCATACTAGATTTTATCGAGTGCGCTCAAGGGCTAGGTACATGTTCTTGTATCAACTCCATCTCATCGCACTAACAGGCGGGGAAAAGGTTTTCAGCCCTATTTTGTTAATGTTCAAAATACAAGCAATTTTCTTCAAGCTTTCTAATACCACGGCTAGGATGTGGAACGACCTCCCTGTGATTATTTTCCATGACCCTTGTAACTTGATTGTCCATTACTCCAGAATAAATGTGCAATTAGGTCCTGGGTTCCGAACTTGGGGTAATTACCCCTCCGGGGGTAAATCTGCCATACTTTGGGGGTAACAAAGAACCTAATTATTTGGTCGAATCTAAATAATAAGAAAATACTATATAATAATACAACTAAATAGAGCATGCGCTCCTTCTTGCTAGCGAGCCCGCGGGGTGCTGTGTGTGGGAAGCGGGGCGAGATTTTCTCCTGATGATGACATTATTAGAGACGAAGATGTAGCGGCCAAATTGGAATTTCTTGGACTGATGATAACATTTTAAAGTCGGGGTAAAATCTGTTTTCCTAATAGGTTACAGGGGTAGCAGTGTTGGAAAGGTTAGGTAACACTGATTTAGGTACTATACGTACGTATTGCATATGTCTCAATTCTCTTTTCCTGTTGGTGAAATTTGAAGACAATGCTACACATTCAGGTAACCAGTTACTATAAAAACAATTTTCGTACCACTTGCTCAAAAAAGTGACATTCTATGCCACAAAAAGCGAACATAACAATAGTCATTTTTAATCTGTTAAAAACAGGGAAAGAAAATTGTACTGAATTTCATTCATCCTCTAGGGGGAGAATGTGATTTAAATTTGGAATACTTACCGAAATTTATACTGAACTACATCTGCGTTTACACCATTGAGTTTGTATATAAAGCATTATACATCTTTTTGAAAAAGGAATACGCATATATTGTGCAGTTATGATTATTAATTAAAATTACGAAAGCCGACGAGGCCGTATTTAATTGAACCAATGTTTCGAATGTTAACTTTTACTTTTAATTGTCATTATTTTTAATAAATGCTTATCTCATATTATTATTGTGTTCATTTTTTCGCAAATGGTACGAAAAGTAGAGTATTTTCTTCGGTGATAAACTTAGATTAAAACAAAAAGGGTAGATACGGTACGCTCATACTTGTATCAAACAAAAACTGATCCCACGGCAGCGCGAACGGGACGGCGAGATCCGCGTCACTGCATTACCGACCCGAGCGAAACAGCACGTTAAGTTTCAACGGCAGCGCGAACGAGACGGCGAGATCCGCGTCACTGCACTACCGACCAATCACGCGACCAGTACTCGACGTCACTACCGAATAAGATTCAAAACAAACAGCATCTTTTATGTATGTATTAAAATTTATAGTACTTATGAATGAAAAGTGATGCCGTGAGTTTATATTTAGTTCTTGATCAATTTGAGCACTTTTTAAAAACTCACTTAGGCGTTGTTTTATCATATAAACACAAAATATTAGCAATATTTTTTTTTGGCGTTCACATGTACGTCGTTTGCATGTCAAGTTGTGACTAAAGCGATTGTGGTCTTGGGCCACAATATATGCGGATCACTTTTGTGAGGCTAGTGCCGTATCTACCCTTTTTGTTTTAATCTAAGGTGATAAAGCTGTCTTAGTCTTGGGTGAATTTAAATCCCTCGCTACACTCAGGACTCGTCTTAAATCTCTCGGTTCGCTCGTGATTTAAGTTTTTTTACACCCTCGCTACGCTCGGGAGTAAACCTCGAATCCTTCGTTACTCTCGCGATTTAAATCGTCACCCGCGACAGAAGACACTGCTTTATCCCCTTGGTTAATAATCTACTATTTATTTCAAATGTTAACTTACCGACATAATGACTATTAAACACGTCGGTATGTAGGTGTTGAACAGATGGTAGCCGAGCCGTCGCTTCAGCTTGAAAATTACCTCCAGACAGGTGAAATTTCCTGAAAACATTAAAAAACTTTGGTTGGAAAACAAATTTGAATGACGACCTTTGTGGCCGAGTGGTTTGTACGCCGGGTTTCATGGCTGTCGCTGACTCGAGAGGTCCCGGGTTCGAATCCCGGTGGGGGCAGATGTATGTGTGATGAATACGAGCATTTGTACTCCAGTCATGGATGTTTAATATGTATTTATATAAATATACTTATATATGTACAGTATATGTATTCTATCCGTTACCCTAGCATCCCATAACACAAGCCTTATAGTGCTTACTTTGGGGCTAGGCTAATTGGTGTGAGTGTTTAAAAAAAAAAATATATATCAGCACTTCAGATCAGAGCACGGACGAAGGATTTCTCTAATGATACTTGTTTCACGCCCCAGAATCATGTACCCTATCGATAGAATCGATACAACCGATAGTATCGAAACTATCGATAGCTCATAACAAGGCAATACTATCGAATGAGTGCAATACTATAGATACTATCGATACTATTGTAGTTCGTTAATAACAAACTATTGTTAGTATCGATACTAGCGATTGTTTTAGACTAAAGTTTGTGATTGACTATAATACCTGAAAATTGTAAACAATACAATTGCAAATTAAACTATCGATAGTATGGTTGCAAATAAAATCGACAGTATCGATACTATCGATAGCTTGTTAATAACGAACTACAATGCTATCGATAGTATTTAACTCATCCGATAGTATTGGCTTTTTCTGTGCTATCGATAGTATCGATATTATCAATAGTATCGATTGGTTGGCTATCGATAGTCGACTATCGATTGGCAACACTAATGGATGAACAAAGAGTTCTCTGTCCAAATTAAAAAGTAAAACTGGCAAATTGCCAGTTTGTGACTATTAGAAAGGTTCTAGGCCCAAAGTCTAGTAATCTTCTAGAATTTGACTAAACACTGTGCTTTAACTAGATCCACAACATAAAGTTCTACCTGTGGAGTAAACCTGGGTGCAGTCAGCGGTTCTGTTCTGCACCAGCTCCAACTGCGGCAGCTCGATGTTCTCATCCACCACCAGGGGGACGTCAGGGTCCCATTGGAAGATCAGGTCGTCGGTGGTGTGGGATACTGAAATGTAAATGAGGAAAGCAATATTTTATATCTTTACTTATTGTTAACAAAAACATTTTTAACATTTTATTATTAACATTTTATTTAGATTTAGTGTCGCCGCACACGGGCCACCGACCACAACCACAAAACGCCGCCATCGACATATTTCTTGTAGTTTTCATACATTTTACATGGACTCGCCACACACGGTACGCCGGTGGCCGCCACACGCTACAAATCGTCGTTGCTCGCTTCTTGTGGCCCGCACCGGCCACTTAATGCGCCGATACAAAACGCCGCCACACGTCACTCGCGCGATTCCCCACCCCGCTCTCCCTTGCCTTAGTCGGCCGCTGTCGCGCGCTTCAGCCACTTTAGAAGCCGCTTCTAGCTTCTCGTGGCGGCGTTTGTGGCTGTAAAATATATAGTAAATTCACTTATAGTTCTTTACCCAGTCCATCTTGCTGGATCCAGCATATGAGAGACATAGGGACAGACATGACAGCGGTATACATGTAGAAGAGATCCTGTTTCTCCATATCTTTTACATGCATAGCACTGGTCCGCTTTCGGGATCCAGCAAAATGGATAGTGCCCAGAACTTTATACAGCAGATATAGAAAGAGTTGTTGGTTTTGTACCCTTGTGTACCCTTCAACGGCCAAGTCATACAACATTAACTATAATAATAAATATAATAATAAAGAAATCGCAGTAAGGAAACTTAGACTTGGCACGACTTTGTCTAGATTTCATTACTTTATATAGATAAACAAGCAGCTCCATCGAGTCTTGGCTAGTTTTTTACAGAATGTTTTTGGTGGGATTTCACTTCTTTTTGTAGAAACGTGGGCATATTGATTTATTTTATTAGATTTTCTTATTGGACATTTTTTTTTCTTTTTAGGAGTAGTCTTTTTATTATTACAAATCTTTCTTTTCTTTTTTTCCGGTTCTGATTCTTGAACATTAGCAACAGTTTTTCGTATTGCCCATTCGCGTTTTTTATTTATTCTTTTAGATGGTTTAATTTCTGAAAGATCGGCGCGGTATTTACGACTAAGCCGGTTGTATTCGGTGATCGCTGAAGCTTGAGCTTTTATACTCTTGAAGTCAACGTTTATGAATTGCACCCCATGAAGATTGGTTACTCGTGAAAGCGCCACGTAGGCTTGGACACAAGAGAATATGGAGGTGCCAATGTCCATGAGGGTATTTTTTACACTTAGACCTTGGTATCACCGCCACTCTTAGTCCAATGCATTATATTTTGACCAAATTTTGAGCGAAATTAATATTTTAGTGTAATTTGTTTATTTAATTTGTGTAATGTTCGAGTAGAATAAAGTTAATCGTTCGACAGTTTTTTCTTGTGAACTCGTAAGTGTAAGTATAAAAGCCAGTCTAGTGTTATCCAGAGTTTTCCTTTAATTTTATTTATATGCGTATTAAAAGTAGAAGGGGAGGCCCAGCAGTGGGACGCTATAGGCTAGATTAAATTAAAAGATGTGTACCACTTCGCTGGATTGTTGCAATAACAGTTCTATTTTTTTGTGTACCAATAGTAGAAGGGGGCATTACCATATCTCTAATACAGCTGAGACCAGCTGAGGGTTCTTCATCAGATACTTCAGACCTTCGATTTTTGACATCAAATGAAGCGGCCCACCAAGTTGAATATTTTTTTGTAAAGGCGGTATGTTGATCTCTTCTAATAGTTTGGCTGGGCTCTTGTCTTTTCTTATCAGGGTCACCAGGTAGGGGAGAGTGGGTAACAGCGGATCACGGGTCACAGCGGATTATTCGCTATAATTCTTACGTCTGATGCTTTACGCACACAAGCAAACGCGTGGCTACTGCTCGTCGATACCCCCCTCTCACGCGCCGGTCGCCGCCGCGCTGGGCCGAGCGGAATCAAGTGCTGTCACACGCAGACTAATAGGTAAGTACGAAAGTATTTTTTTACGTAAATTAAAAATTTGTCGTATTCCCAACCCTTTAATAAATATAAATGATAGTCGTATGGTTTGAACTTGTTATTTGATAAATCCGTTGTGGGTAATGTAATTTTGGCTTGGGTATAAGTAGTTATTTTTTGAATATTTTTTTTGTGTCGTACCGGCCTATAAGTCACAGAGAATAATTTTCATTTGGGTCACAGCGGACTGCAGCTGCACGGTAGCGCTGCATGATATTAAGATGATTTTACCAAAACTTACGTTTTTTGGGACTACAAAGAGGAAGCAAGGCATGTACAACTTTAACGTTGATCTTTCTAACATTAATTTACGCTAATCTTATTTAATTTGACCTCAAACCGAATCTCAGCCAATTTTGATATATCAGAAAATATTTGTTTTTATAGTTTATTTTATATCAACAATGTTCCTATTAAAGTTTATATTAATGAATACTCGAGGAGTAAATATATTTATGTTTAATAGTTGAGTTAGCATTTAACAAAATTCTTATTAAAATGTTTGTTAATGATTACTGAAGAAGTAAATATGGTTATCTGAATAGAGAAGAGAACTTCGTGGAAATGAAAGGAGAAGAACTGTTGTTTATTTAAACAAAATGTTGATTAGTTTAGGTCTCTTTATACCAGTATAATTTGAAAGACTTGTTAATTTTTGATAAGACTGTGATATGTTAGCTTATGATCAATAATAAATCGAATAATCGATATTAATTAGTAGTAGAAGGTTATTTTATTTAACTGGCAACTCCATCACTCGCGTCACCTTTAGTTTTGTCGTTGGTTGCGCACTTACTTAATTCCTAACATCGAGCGAGGACGGACGTTCCATATTCAAAAGGCTGTGTGGATTGTAAACGAAGAATAAATTATTGTACGCTTATGAAATATTGTATTATTCAATATTTCAGAAGTGGGATAATGGTTTAAACCACGTGCCGACGCTGCGGTCTTCTGGACAAAGGTCAGATTTTACAGTTATTTTTCTCCAGTGTTAACAAAGTGTGTGTTATAATGACTGTGAACATGAAAATAGCAGTCACTTTAATCGTTGTCTGTTTTAAATAACTTACATAGTTAAGAAAAGCATCGTGTTTTTGTGCTATTGTGAAGAAAATGTGTATTTGTTTAAGTCGTTTGTTAATGACACAGTGAAAAGAAAGCGTCAACTCGTTAAAACACGTGAAATTAATAAAAATAACAAATATTAAACAAGATTCGTGTTTTTAGTAAGTGTACAAAGAAAATTAAAGTACCTACAATCAGGAAATAAAAAGAAAGTTTTTCGTTTTTGTGAATTATGGTGATAGATTTGTGTAAAGTGTGAATTCTGTAGTTCGACAATATTTGACTTTATTGATTTATCATATTGTGTATACTTTCGTTTTGTTTATTCTGATTTCTAAAATAATTAAATAACAGTTGTGTTCTTGCAATAGGCCACAGTAATTTAAATATAATTATTATAATTATAACGACCGGGTAAAGAATATTGATATACCCTCCTTGTTTTTTTTTATTATATATATTCTGTGTTATGTAAGTATTTTCTAAATATATTAGGTTATACTGTTTTAGTTCACTTGCTCTGTGTCTCTTGATTATTCATTACATTTATTTGCTTATTCTTACTTCATAACGTACAAAATGGGTAAATCAAAAAGAAAGCGGTGTCATTCTAGTTCATCTAGCAGCTCTAGTACCTTTTTAAGCGATGATTATGAATCTAGGCGTAGGATGCGGCATCATAAAAAGCGACGTAGTAATAAACATTACAAACGTAAAAGTCGTAAAGATAAAATACAACTTCCTAAGGAAAGTAATCTAGAGGAAACCCGCGAACTAGCCACGACACCTCCCTTAATATCAACCTCGCGAAATTTACCAGAACCCATGATTCATAATAGTCTTGCTAGTAAACATTCCAGTAGAGGGATCGGTGATGAAGGTGCGGCAAGTAATGCAAATTATTGGGCTCAAAATAATTTTTCTGTAGCGCATAGCGTAGTACCCGAGTTTGACCCTTCTAACAACAATCAGACTATCGAAAACTGGATAAACAAAGTTAACGAATGTGCTCAGATTTATTCATGGAACGATCGGCAAATTTCTCACTATGCTCTACCTAAGTTGACGGGCTTAGCCCGGAAATGGTACCAGGGTCTACCGTCAGTTTTATATACGTGGACCGAATGGACCGAAAAATTTAGATTGGCTTTTCCGTCAAACGAAAATTATGGTGATTTGCTAACCAACATATTAAAACTACGTTGTAAATTTGGACAATCCTTAGAACATTATTATTATGATAAAATGGCACTGATAAATAAATGCGAGATAGTTGGCGCGAAGGCAGTTGGTTGTCTTATCCATGGCATCGATGACAAATTTGTGCGTATGGGGGCGGGTGTTTGCTTATTTAACGAACCAGAACAAGTTTTAAATTATTTAAGGACCGTATCGCAACATGACAATAATGGGATGCAGGGTAATATTCGTAATCGTATTAATGTAAATTATAGGCAGAGTAATAGAACGGTAATGGAGCCGGTGAAAAGTTATGATAATAATAGTACTGTTAGATGTTTTAATTGCGGTGAACTAGGGCACATAAGCTTAAAATGTAAAAAACCAATAAAAAAATGTAATTTCTGTTTCAAATTAGGCCATGAAATAAAAGATTGTCGTAAGAGGAACATAATAGTTAATAATGAGGAACCAAGAAATAATAATACGGAACAGAATAAGTCTTTAATGTGTATTAGCAAAAATGATGATAGCGGAAATGACAAATATTATAAAAATGTAATAGTTAACGATGAGAGCATGAAAGGGTATATAGACTTAGGGTAGTAAGTGCACGTTGATCCAAGAAAGTTACGCAAAGCTTTTATGCGCTAGTTGTCATTGGGAAAACGACAATTTACCGATACTGCAAGGGTTTGGAAATTCTGTAGTGATACCACTAGGGAGAATTAGAGTAGTTATAAAAATAGAATCAGTGAGCGCAGAGATTGATGTTTTGGTAGTGGAAGAC